GCATATATATATATATTACTATTTATTATATTCGTTATAATTTTAAAATTATGCATATATCAAGCTAGGTCATATGTAAGGTCAATTATTTTCAAAATCTTAGGCGACACCCTTTAGATCATTTTAATCTTTAGAACGGGGCCGGCGTGACAATCCCGTCAAAATCATACATACCCAGAGACTTACACTAAGCACTTAGATGTTGGTTATGATACTTTTGTTGGATGGCGTGCTAGGCTAGGACTATGATGCTAGGTATTATTCTCGAAACCCCTGAAAATTATTCTCTGTTGAATTGATTGTTCTAGCCAAGCATCAATTTTGTGCTTTTTGGTTTGTTTGTGTGTTTGATATGCATTATAGTATACTAGGGCGTTCTTCTGCAAGAAGTCGTGTCTATATATATGCACACAAAGATATCATTAATGGGGGAGCATTTGATGATTTCTACTAATCTTTTGTTTGCATGTGTCATTTTGTCACCCATATAAAAAGGCACGGCTCATTATACATTCCATGTTTGTTGGTTTTCTCGCTAATATTGTCTCATGCAGGTTAAGTCATTTTTTCTCTTTTTCCTCTGTACTTTTAAAGTCCTAAGAGAGTTTTGTATTGAAAATAAGGTGCGGGCACGAGTTCCGAAGTGTCAGACGGACGAAACCATATGACATGAACCAGGAGTTGCTTGCTCGTCCCGTAACTTAATTCTAAATTCATTTATGTATAGAATTAAGACCAAACGCATACTTATGCGGAGTCTGACCGTCTTTTTCTCTTCTGGGATATCTCGCTAACCTAGCGACACCGATCTTTTATTATTCCATATTTGGCATATTTTCTTAATTTTCTTGCATGTTTGCATTCTTGAATTGTTTTCTCTGTTTCTTTCTAGTTTATCTGAGATGCTGCAAAAAATACAATTTAGACTCTCTCTAAGTAAAAATTGTAAATTTTTCTATAAAAATATCTTAATAATAAAAGATTCAAATAATCAAAATATTAGAGTTAAAATTGCAGGACTAACAAAAACCTGCTTTTATTTTTTTGTATGACCTTCAGGACGAATTTTAAACGGGTTGCAAAGCACAGTTCTCATTCAATTCATAATAAATAGGGCTTTCACATTAGGAGTTGAATAGATAACTGCATCATTCTACATGTCCCGAGAAGTTCTCGTGCTTCTCCAACCTGACTGACCCAATATAAATTTATACTTGGTGATTGTCTGGTGCGCATGGATCGTTAGAGTTTCCCAGACCTAGACGAGGTGTAAGTCCTTCGTTGGGAGTGTTTCCAACTTTGTAACTGAATCTCCATTTCTCCTCTCTCCAGTGACATCTTCGTCATTTCGACAGGTATAATTCCCACCTCTTGGAGCTCCATCTAATAGTCACAGCCTCACAGGATAGAGTTTCATTCCTTGGACCTTAGGGCTGTTGAGATCCTCGTGGACGACACAATTCACGGATTGCTAACCGGGGATCTCTAGAAGTGTTAGGTTGACTACATTTTCGACCAGATAGACTTAAGAACCTAGTGGCTTGGGATGACAGACACATGGTACCTCGACCTAGCTACTTCTACTTGTTAGGGACTACTCCATTCCTTTGACTACCCCTATTGAGTCTTGTTGCTACTCTTGTCGTAGTTGATATCAATTTGACAACCCGATTACTAAAGAGTTGTCACCCATTTTAGATACGACGATTTATCCTCTACCCTTATGGTCCGGATGTGCTTTGACGTAACATGATTCCCCATCAGAATGATTCGATTATTTTGCAGGCTCTGTATGACGATGAGTCTGTCACCCAGGTGGGACCGCTAGAGACTCACTCTAAGCCTTGTGGCTTAACGGGAGTTTTGAAAGCATCAGAGCATCCTCTTGCAAAATAACTATCATTTGATAGCCCTGTGCAAGTTTTCGCTACTATTATAAGAAAAACTCCTTTGAATCAAGAGTATTCTTGAGTAACCCTCAAGATGTAATTAACCAAGTGGAATACGTCCCCTTGGGACCACTCTATGCCCCAGAACATGCAAACACACCTGAATCTCTAGTTATGAGCAGTCTATGTAAGTATTTTTTTCACGGATATTGGTATACGATGCATCGTCTCAATATTGTTTAGGCGCACATACTTGACCGATCCTTGCAAGGTTTATCACATGTATGCTCTCAGTTTTTTTTTTCTTGTTTATCGTCTTTGTCGTATGTATGTCATTTTCAGTTCTTCTCTTCTCCTGCTCATTCACATGATTTGTAAAAGAGACTTATTCGGAAAAAATGAAGTATAAAACAATGAACAAATTGGCGACTCCTTCAAAAAATAAAAAAAGAAAGAAACGAAAACATGCCCACCATTCGGTGATCCTCCGACTCGACAAATTCATCTGCGTGAGAATAATGTCAAGAAATTTGTTAAAAACCGACAGCAACCAAAGAGAGCTTTACATACCCATAAATTTATTTATTGAGGAAAGAGTAGTCAAACATTTTTTCCCTTCTTGTTGTGAGGTACCTTCGCCTTCCTGCAGTAATGGCTGATGAGAAACGGTAATCACCACTCCTCCCAACTCCTTTCCATTTTCCTCAGCCCCTCCAGCGAGCAAAATTTGTTGGTTCTCGTCGCTCATGCCCATGCCTGGCACAGAGACCACAACCTCTCGACGAGGGACTTTTAGCATTCACCCCTCTGAATCCCCAGATGAATCGACCTAATAGGCCGACCAAGTTTCAGGCCTCGACCATTTCACTTTCTCAACTTCGTTCTTTTTTGCAGAGATCAAGGGTCCGTAGGGAAAAATGACATGGTGCAACTCATCTAACTGGGAAAAAATGACAGCAACAGATGCCACGCTAAGCCTATAACTTCATTTATAGAGCACATTGGCCACAAAATCCAGAGGGAGGTTAATCATTGAATTAATTTTTTTGATTTTAGCATTATTGATTATTAAATAGTTTCTCTATCCTTATCGTAGTTATCACTATAAAGGAGCAAGGAAAACTCAGGAAATAAATATGTATATACTAGAACTGACGACAAGAATCTCAAAGCAATCAAGCGGCTCGGGATGGTTCCCACACAACCGAGGCGTTGGAATAAATGAGTACGATATGAGCCGACTGCCCAAGCGATCAACCAACAAATTATGACGAAAGATTCAATCGGCGAACCACGCCTACAGTCCATGCCGCCCAAACTTCATACAAGGGTACTGATTGCAACCAGTAGACTAACCAGCTTTTACTTCGGCAGGAGCAATCGTCATACTATAAGTCACCTCAGTCGCTCGAATCCAAACGAGTCTACCGGTTGGTTACCGTCTTATACAAATTCAAATTATAATACATATTTAGTATGAAATCAATACGATTAATTAAATTTAGGGTGGTTTCCAAATAGTTCCCTCCTTTCTATAATTGTACACATACACCTCTATAAATGGAAGACAAAATACGAATAAAGGGACCCCACTCCCTGTTTTTCCACCGGGAATTCCTCAATTATTCTATATTTTCTCCCTTCCTCCTCTCGACTCTAACTCTCCAAGCGTGTGGTCACAAATGATAATTTAAGACTCAACAGAGTTGTTTTTAATAATAACAATTTTCAATAATACATAACCAAAAAAGTTTCTTGATAAGAATCAATTAGCTTATATCATTTATCTTCCCCTCGTGACACAGATATATATGAATATACTTTGAAATAAATTTTTACCACTTTGAAGTGCGGCGCATGATGAAAAAGAAAGAGAAAAAATTTTGCTAACTGCTAAGCTATTTTGTCCCAGGAGTAATTTGCGTTTAGCCATCCAAGTAATCGCATCTTGCACTAATCATACCAACTTAACAAAAACGAGACTAAAGTTGCAGCCACACAAAGCTACTTTCAATAATTCAAAATCCACAACGGTAACAGAACTTTAGCGACACTTGGAAAGTAGATATTACGTCAATATAACAATTTGCACTATACATTAATTTCAGTGGTGCCTATAATATAACAAAATTGATGAGGACAATAATGCAAAATTTAGTATCATTATCTCGCATAAAATAACGTCAAATAAAATGAATAATCATAGAGATGCTTACAGATTTCAGCCAGGGATGCCTCCCTCAGGCAGGTCCCAATTATCATCCATGTCATCAATGGCCTTCTTGTTAGGAATATTTTCTTCTTGTGATGCTGAGCTGAATCTTTGGCCCGAATACTTTCTGGGGAATATGATAGATATTGAAGGATCAAGTTATAAGAAATCAAAAGATTGAGGTAAGTAGAGGGATAATTTTTAGACATAATATTGAATTTTCAAAGCAGTTGTGAAAATAATTATTAAAACAAGTCTATTTGTCTCGTATTACGAAGGGTGACCTTAAATATGATGCATAAAAATACTTCATACTTGCAATAAGTTTTATTTAGGTTTTTCTAATTGCATGGCATATCTACCTCCAGACCACGTTAAGAAATTTGAAAACTCATGGTTCTCTAGAATTCCTGAAAACTAGTGCTAACGTTGTCAATTGGGGTTTGAATTCATGTTGTTATTTATATTTGTATTAATCTCAAGTGAAGTTCATAATATTAAAATTATCAAAAGTAAATCTTAAATTAACTCCTATCTTTAGTTGGCCAAATATCAGACCTCCTTTCACCCCGTTTTTTTTTTTTTTTTTTTTTTTTTTTTTTTGCTGGGCCTTTTAATTGCCTCATTGCCAAAATATATATATTAACATCCCTTTGGGAGGCGCAACCTCTTCTAAAAATTTTATAGCAAATATTTATGTTGATAATTGGATCTTATTTAGGGTCCTATTGGTAAAAAGAGAATATAGAAGAAACCACCTGTACTCGACTATCTGTACTCGGGCCTCTACACTCTGCCACATGTAGTCATCCAGAAAAACAACACTCATAAGAGTGATTTCTAAGAGCAACTCATTCATAAAACTCATCCATGATCAAACAGACCGGCTAAACAATGAATATAACAATTGGAAGTACAGAGCATAAGATTGAGAGCGCAGAAAATGGCATTGACGAAAGAAATGACACTAGAGATAATATAATTTATACACCTGTGATAGTAAAGGATAGATCCTCACAATCAAAAATCACAAAAAATTCATATGTAATTATAATTTACACATATTGGGAAATTTACGCTTATATAAGAAAGGGAAGGGGAAGATAATCTAAGAGGAGGCTTTTTCTTCCGCCGTGGGACAACTATTAAATGAGTTAATACAACCCTTTCTTTATTCTCTCTCTCTCCCCCCACTTTCTCTCTCTTTTGTCACTCCTTATGTTCTATTCTTTGTGTGTGGTTCACGGACAAAAAAAGATTAAACACCCTAAAAAAGTATGGTGAATGTAGAATTATGCTATAAACAAGAGAGAAACCACAAATGAGCAAAACAAAGTGAAAGATAAGTAACTAGAAACATGGAGAACTTGTCTGGGAGAATAGCTAAACTCATCCATTCGGCCACCTGTACTAGCCACTCGGTTACTGCACCCGATCACCTACATTTGACCACTTGCACTAATCTAAAAAAATAGCTCACCCAAGAAAGTTCTTTTGGAAATATATTTAGGGAAACATTTTTGTCTGAGAGAAGATGAGTTACGATGGAGTGGAGCTAAACAACAAGAAAACCTCTGACAACAAGAAAAATCCGTCAGAGCCTTCTTTTTTATTTTTTATTTATTTTAGTGCATCTATGTTTTTTGTTAACTCCTTCAATGTTTATATAATGAGTAATGCAAGCATTAATTGTTATATAAAAATAGATCTCCAATAACACTCGGCAAGCATGCCCCTCACAACCAAGCTTCTAAAAGAGAAAGAAAAATAGTCTAAACATTTGAATACTAATTGGCTCAATAACTGAATGTAACGAACGACTTCAGAGAATCAAGACATAATTTCGTCAAATAAAGAATGAAATCAATCAACATAAAGATTGAAGACCACAAAATCTCAGCATAAATAAAGTTGAAAAGTATGACGACTCCTTATAGGAGAGCTACGACCCCCAAATGAAAGATAGTCCAAATTTAACCAAATTGATTGAATTTCTTTATAACTGGGTCTTATTATAAGAAAATAATCAATCTAGTGGCACAAAATGTGGAAACTCATTTTAATGGTAGCACTTGAAAGATTCTCTCTCTATAAGATCATCGTGTCAATTGTAATAAAGATTAGCTAACAATCTATAAGAATAATTCTTGAATATAAGCTGAAATTCCACAGGACGGAATCCTGTAGTTATAGCCAAAGTTTCCCAACAATATTCTATATAGAAAAGATAAGATTCCCTAGTCAAACGAATAGTCAACATATAAAGAAATACACCACGCATTTTACTTGAATAGTTTTGGCCATATTTGAAAAAAAATGTTACTCCTAATGAATTTATTCTTTAGACTAGAGAAGCATACGTTCGTCATACAGAGATGAGCAATGTATCATTTCATGTTTATCAATCTTTTATTCTTTTTACAGTTGTATTTTAAAAATATAAGAGAATCAATGAACTAAATATGTATGACCAAAATCCCCTGAATCAGGAACCTGTATATGGACACCTGCACTTGGCCACCTGCAAGCATAAAAAAAATTGCACTCACAAGAGTGATTTCACAGAATAATCTTCCTAGAATAACTCTTCCAAAGACCTTACCCATGGCCAAACAGACAGACCAAACATCAGATGTGACAGCCAAAAGTACATAGCAGAAGACTGAGAACAACAAAAGATAGTATTAACAGAAGAAAAGCCACAAGAGAAAATATGATATATATACTTGAGGCAATAAGGGACAAATCCATGCAGTCAGAAATCCCAAAAAAACCTATATATAATTATAGCTTACGCATTATAGTGAGAAATTACCCTTATATAAGAAGGGAAAGATAATGTAAGAGGAGGTAAGGGACAAATCCATGCAGTCAGAAATCCCAAAAAACCCTATATATAATTATAGCTTACACATTATAGTGAGAAATTACCCTTAGATAAGAAGGGAAAGATAATGTAAGAGGAGGTCTCTTCCTCTCCCGTGAAACAGTTATTAGATGAGTTAATCTAATCATTTTCTTACTCTCTCTTTCTACCCTTTTCTCCTACTTTTCTTTCTCCTTACACTTTGTTCCTTTAGTGTGATTCATAAACAAAAAATAATTCAACAATATCATATTGACTATTGTTTCGAAAAATTAGTGGCTTGCTAAAAAATTTGGGAAAATATTGAAAAATAATTGTTTTCTACCAAATGATGACAAATGAGTCATTTGAAGGCTGATCAGATGGAGTAAGTGTCACAAAGCTAGAATTTTGTTTTCCTTTTTTCTTCTTTTTTTTACTTATAAAAAATGAAAAGGTAAACATCAAAAGTTTAAAAGCCTGTGATTAAGGAGAAACACTTTAGCTTAAGTTAAGTTTGTTTTATCACCTCCTTTCTAAATTTGTCATACTATTAAGTCGAATGATTCTCAATAATATTAAGCTAATTTGACATGCCAAGTGTAAAGAGAAATCAAATTAGAGGCGTGTTCAAAATAAGCCAAGTTGAGTAATTTCAATATACACCTAGTGTTGACTTTATAATAAGCGAAGCAAAAATGATCCTATACTCAGTCAAGTATAAAATATTTAATTTGACACCGTTGAACATGCAATGTACTTGAAAGCTTGCCAAATGAAAATATATTCAAAAATCTGATAAATCCCCTAGAACCTCTTATCTTTATCCCTCTAACTATTTGAGCAAATGCAAATTTCCAATGTTTAGGTGCTCAAATACTAAAAAAAAATCTCATTCAATTGTTACTTGGTCTTCTCTCATGCGCTTCTTGTCATGAGTCGTCGGCTTGGAAAGGTCTTGCCTTTCATCATAACTAATTCTTCATAAAGGTAGCCAGCTAAGCTTACATGGTAGAATAAACCCACAAGCTACTCAATGTGAAACTTGATCACAAATAGAAGAGCTACTCAAAGTAAAACTTGATCACAAATGGAAGAGTCGGATAAAGGGTTAAAAATTTTTCAAATGCATGAAAGGAATCAAGACTCGATAATTAAGGTATATTGAGTGAGTAAAAAAGATTTGTAAGAGAAATTTCATATTTAAATATGCGAAACAAAAAATAATAAATACACTATTTTTAGAGAAAATTTTTATCATGTAAAAAGATTATATACACCTTTTCCTTTGGTAAAGACTCGAGGTGATTTTGCTAAACATAGCTTGTTTGTTTATGTGGGACCCTTGCTCTTTCATAAAGATTATTCTCCCTACATCAAGACTTGTACCTGAGCTAAGATCACCAATATCCCTAAACTTTAAGTTAGTCGATCCATTTTACAAATGCTTGAGTGCTCTTCTTTTAGTTTTCAATCTTTTTATTATTATTATCAATGTTTGCTCGAGCCTAAGGTTGACCTGCCCCAAACTTGTGCAAGTAAGCCTATATCAAATTTCTACTCTGCATTTGTTATGCTCTTTTGATGGATTCTATTGGACTCGCCAAAAAGGAGCAAGTTCCTCGAGCGTGATTTCAATAACAAGGCTACTTTCTTGAATATGGATAAGAAGAGACGATTTTCCCCAATTTTGAGGATCGGACTTTGCCATTCCCTTGCATCGAACATTTGCCAGATTTGTCGAATTCTTTTAACTTGTCATTAATGAAATAGTACCTCATTTATTTTTTTATAAAAATGTATTACAAAATAAAATTAAAAGAAAAAGAATAGAGTATGATGATTCTCCTTTTCCATGAATAGAAAATATTCAAGTCATTTTTATTCTAAATCCTCGATACTTTCCTTCTCGTGTCTATTTGTAGCTAATAAAACCTGGAGCAGACTTGTGACTTAGAGATATAAGGTCCTTGACATGTTAAGCCTAAATTATTAGGGACTAGTTGTCAAACTGTCACATCTATCTTTCTCAACGCTAGATCTTCAAGGAGGAAGACCTTCTCCTAGACACTTTGTGTTTTAAAATATTGCTATTTCTTGATTTCCTTGTCTAGTTGATTCTTGGGCTTGAAGCTTCTCCAGTAAATATAAAGCCAATAAAATGGATGAAGACATTTCAACCCATCTTTCTTGACATTTTTGAAATGATGTTAAATATAAATTTGTCTATGGCAATACTTTACCAGAGCCGCAAGATCTCGACAGAACCCTAAGCAAAGAGAGAAGGATAAATAAAAAAGGGTAGAGAAAGAGAGACTATAAGATACTACATATTAAGAGATGGATTTTATTTCTTTACACCAGAAAATTCAAAGTACTATATTTGTCATCCCCTAATGTGTCCCTTTAACCATGTATTTAAAAAAAAGTTTGGCACTACATAAGATACTACATATTAATATAATAGATATATGATATATTTATTATAAGCATATGAGCAAGGTGAGCAAATTTCTAATAAATATATGTGACTTGATTTACTATGTTTTTAACGGAAATTGTGACTGAAGTAAAGAAACCATTACCTTCAAAAAAGTTAGTTTTTTTAACTCCCCACTCCACTGCCCCTCACAAATTAGTACTTTTCAGGCGAGCAAACGGCCTCTAAACTGAACGGGTGCTTTTCAAACCTAAGCCTCCAAATTGGGTGAATTCCCTCGTAACTTGAGCCCTCTGAATATAGTAAGTGCATTATGAACTTGAGCCCTCTAAATAGAACAAGTACCCTCTTAGCTTTAGCTCTATGAATTCGGCGAGTGCCTTGAAGAGCCTCATACTCTAGTTCCTAATGAATTCATTTGGTTAGTTCGCCTTTACCCTCAAAATACATATTTGGGCATACCAGATCATTATCTTCAATTTGTTATCCTCCAATACTTTGAGACCACATGTCTGGAAAGAGGAGGATTCACTCTAGCTTATCAAGGTTGCATGTGTATCACTTGCAAATAAATCTTTTGAAGTTTGCTCAAGACTGACGATCATAGCATCATAACAACCCCTTTCCATCGTTACATCATATCCAAACATTCAGCTCCAATCATTCAACTATCCTAAGAGAATATGATGAATGAACTTGACTATTGAGCCATTTATATGATACCACAAATCTTCAAAATAAATACGTGAGTAGCATATTCAGCCCATCTTTTCAAGACATCATAATTAGCATGAGAAAAGGCCGACATGTCAACCTTAGATTAAGTAGACTGTAGTTGCCTATGAGTCCACTACTTCGTATGCAGCGCGCGTCGACCCAATAGTTTGTTGCTTTTGCTCTAACCACAAGATCTTAGGTTCAAGATCTAATGTATTCACTCAAAGTCCCCTAAATAAAATATATCAACCACTTGATCCTTTTGGGTAGTACCCACCAATAGTTGGCTACCTTTATTGAGTATGCCAAAAGTTTGCCTAGGAAGAATGTTCAAACTCATCATGACTAAGAAGACTCCTTGTTCCTGCAGCTCCAAGGATTTCTATAAGAGCTCCAATGACGACTCAGTTAGGGTTTTTGATGCCATAGAAACCCTTATCAACTCTAATTTGGTGTTGTCTAACAATATATGAGATTTAAGTTATTAATATTTAGTAAATCTCGTAAATCCAAATTTACTAAACTTTGAATGGGTTAAATCTGAAAAACTGTCTGACAACAAATTTACTAAATCTTATCACCATTTTCAATCCTAGCCCGTGGAGTTAAATCCACCGGTTCCTGGGATTTACAGTTGAAATCCCTGGAATTTGAATTTACGTCATCAGGAATTTATTTTGTCCAGAATAACTGTCTGGCAGAATTCCACTTAAATCCTGTATAAATCTGCCTTTAAATTTGTTGCTAGACAGCGAGTACAGAAACATCAAGAGCCAGAGTGCTTCAAGTGTAAGCTAACCTACATTAAAGTGTTGTCTGACAACAAATGAGATTTAAATTACTAGGATTTAGTAAATTCTGTAAATCCGGATTAAGTAAATCCTGAATGGGTTAAATCTCAAAAGCTGTTTGGCAACAAATTTAATAAATCCTGTAAATCCAGTAAAACTATCTATCAATTTATGCTCTATTCGATTCTTCACGCCTTAAATATGCAGCTCGGAAACTTAAATCCACCGATTTGCAGAATTTACTAAATCCAGGATTTACAAACGAAATCCGTGAAATCCGGATTTATTGCATCCCTGTATTTATTTTGTCCAAAATGAACGTGTGGCAAGATTTGTCTAACAACCCGCATAAATCCTTGCTTAAATGCGTTGCCAGAATCACTCAACAGTTTCCGACCAAAACTACTCTCCAAACACCTTACTCTATCAGCAAGCAAGACACATGGTATGAAATGGGAGAGAAGAGTTTCGGCGACTCACCTCCTCCGATTTCGGCGCCCAGCTTCCCGCGCCTTCCTTTTCTTCTCCTCCTGAGCATTCTCAAAGAACCTTCTCCGCTTGCATTCGGGTATGATGCCAGCTTTACTCACTTCCCGCCTAAATCGCCGTAGCAGCGCCTCCTCTGGCTCGTTCTCCTCAACAAAAATCTGGACGTTGTAGCCCGAGTCAAAGAACAAAACGTTTGCGTAGCTTAGAGCTGGGTTCATCACTTCCGCTAAGGGATCGATAGGGCCGCCGGCTGCCGATCGCAGGGATCCCGGAGGAGATGGGGCCCCCCGCCTGCCGATCGCAGGGATCCCGGAGTAGATGCTCCGGTGGAGTGAGTGGTAAAGTTGCGGCGGGATAGGACTGAGGGGTTGAAGGAACGAGCAGAATGTGAAGAGGGGAAGGTAGGATGCGTTGTGAAGGGTGCTCGAAGTAGATTACATGGAACCGCCATTGGAGGTAGACGGAGGTGGAGAAGGGGGAGGACAAGGAGAAACTTATCCCTTCCAGAAAATTGCTTGGAATTACAAAAGGGTATGGGAGTGCCGCACCCACCTGCTGAAATTATAAAATTTGACTTCAATATTAATGCAGAAAATCTTACCTTGTGATTTTTATTGTTGGCACTCAAATCCTTCATATCTACACATCTCACATCTAAAATTTAATATTTACAAAAAATAATCACAAATATATATATTTAACTGCTAAAAAAATAATAATTTGTTAAGTGATGAGAAACTGCCAAGAAATCTTCTTAATTCTCCAATTCAACTACTCTCGACTTCGCTAGATAGGTAGTGATCATTGCAAACCCTTCATGCCCTATCCCAAAATCATCTCTCTTGTTCAAGTCAAGAAGAAGGGATGGGTTTGCTCCTCATTCGTGACTGCTGCAGGCGGTCACTGGGTTTTGGGTAGAGGTGTGAGTCGTGGCTCGGAATCGGATCTCTGTCCAACTAAATCTTAATCTAATTCGTGTGGATCAATCTGATTTTCGAGTCGCCTTGAATTATAAACAAACCAACTTGAATGCTACTTTTGGCTTTTGAGCTAGATCGGCATGGCTCGAACTCGTCTCGGCCCGCCCAGCCACCCCACTTGCAAAAAATACATTTTTTTTTGTGAGCAAAGTGGATTTGAACCGTTCTGATCAGAGCTGAGGACATATCGATATAAATTTGACGGAAAGTTTTTTAGGATGTCAGTTACTTCAGTATACCTAAGGTGCTGAAAAGAAAACAAAGTCTGAGATGTGCTCTAGGAGTTAAATTCCAGAGATTGTGGTAGTCGCTCCGGAGGAAACACTTCTGCTTACTACGTACAATGGCAACGATGCTTCCGATCAACACTCTTAAAGAACATGGAGGATTTCTCAAGGAAGTGCGAGCAATGTCAAAAATATGCACCTATATATCATTAATCGAATTGAAAGCTGCATTGGTTAGCTCTTGGTTGTTCTTCATGTGGGGACTCGACACTCTCGGGCCTTTTCCTTCATCGAAAGGCCAGAGAAAGTTCCTCTTGGTGGCAATTGATTATTTTTCAAAATGAATCAAACTCGTTCAAATCAACTCCGAAGCGGTCCGAAATTTCATATGTTCCAATTTAATCAACATGTATGAGCTTTCGCTCGGCATCATCACAGACAATGGGAATCAGTATGCGGATCAACGAGCAAAAGACTTCTACGCAAAACAAGGGATTAATCTGAAGTTTACCTCGGTCCATCACCGTAGAACGAACGCTCAGGCTAAGGCAGCTAACAAACTCATCATAAACCTATTAAGGAAAAAGGTCAAAAGAGCTAATGGGAGCTACGTGGGTCTCTACCCTCGGTGCTCTAGGCGATTTGAATGATGTCTGCTACGACGACCAGAAAAACTTCGTTCATGCTAACTCATGGAATGGAGGTCATGTTACCGGTCTAATATGATCATCACGACCAAATGGTTGTTAGAGCCTCCTCGTTTGTTGGAGATGAACTAGCCGAGTGGCAACTTGCTAACATCAAAGGGGCGATGCCAGCTGTCAACCTTGTAGAAGAAGCCAGAGCCATATCAACGCTCCAACAAGAGAAGATTAAGAGGTGAACCACCCACTATTTCGACAGATATGTTCGGGAGAGGGCTTTCGTTCCGGAAGATCTAGTCATAAGAAGGTCGATTCAACAGCTCACGAGCAGGCAGTTTGCAAGTTGGTCTAAACTTAGATCAGGCATTATATAGTCTACTAACGCTTATCACCTGAGGCATATCAACTAAAGACTTGTTGGGAAGGAACTCACACGTACATGGAGCAGAGACAACTTGAAGAAGTTTTATTCCTTAGAAAAACTCATTTTTTACAAAATTTGTTATTTGTATATCCGAATAGAAGTGTCATTACTTGCTGTAATTTTGATCAATGCAATAAAAAACAAACTAATCCTTATCTCAATGTCTCAACTCCCTAAGATAATTAGTGAAATTGGTCCGATCGAACTCCACTGAATGATTAGTCATATCAATCACACTCTAGGCTGAACCAAGCAAAGGTTAGAGGAGAGGCGCCGCCAACCGGTCAACCCCAAACATAACTACAGTACAACATAAATAAAAAACTATAAATAAGAAAGTGCAAGGAAAACAAAACATAACCAAGATAGAAAAGGTAATTTTATTATGAATAGAAGATACAAGACACTTCCAACCGACAAACAAATCAATACATACTTTACAACTCTTTAGACCAAAACCAAGCCTCAGAAGGGACGGTCGGTCCATAGTATAAGTAACCACTGACGCAGCTAAGGAGAAAAATCCTTATCATTTGGAAGACAGGCACAAACCTCTACCTAGAATGTCATCGCGACTGAGAGTTGGGTTGAATCTGATTAGCCCTCTCCACACCTTAGACTTCTCCTTTGTACAAAATGTCACCCAAAGATATGAAAGATATGAAATAGAGTTAAATTATCTAACATTTTGGATGCAAAGAAAGCCCTCCCCTTAAGCACTCGAGGATTCTAATTCCTTTAGACCCCCTCAGTTCGAAGGGGAAGGGGGGGTGGAGGGTGGAGAAACACTATCTGGGGTAATTGCCTCCCTCCAAAGATATCTAGCCAACGTCCCTTCGGATTGGGCTTAATATTTCCTTCATGCCCTAAAGCATATGCTCAAAAAGCATAATGTTGTTGTGATAAAAAACAATCTTTGCCCACACTCCCACAAAGTTTTGACTATCTAACGTGATTGCAGACAGCCAAAATAAGTGGGAGCAAAACTCGTTGTGACTGAAGGTGTCATGTTTTTCTCTTGAAACTCCGAGAAAGGAAGGGCCAAGAGACATAAAGAGCCCCCCCCCTCCCGGTCAGCAACAACGACCGAACATGCACATTGTTCTCCTAAGGCGGTGAGCTTAACACCCATATAGAAGTCCACCCTGTTCGTTTGCGGGAAGAGTCTCTGTTTGTACATATAACTCGACTTAGGCGAGTTTCGATGCCCGACTCGCAGAAAATCCTTCCCTTTAATGCAAGAATCACAAAAAACAAGTTAAAATGGGGGCTCTAGCCTCAAGATAGTGAGAACTTGCATCAATGGGAAATTTTCTCCACTATCGATTGTGTACAGAGCTGTCTCACCGCTCTCCACCCTCGCTAGTCCGACAAACATGTTGAAAAGGCAAGGAAACCGTGAACCTCCCTAACGGGAGACAAAAGGATAAGGACCCGCATGATTGGCAAAAACAGGGTAAGTCCCTGGGAGGTCTAGAAAAACCACTAAAAGACCCAACGATTATAGGGAAATTGATCGACAGTAGCATAATCGTTCGGGAAACTTCGATATCTTCCAGCTACGAGTTGACAAGGAGTTTGAACAGTAGATTGCCTAGGGATGATTGTCTCCTCGCTAGTGATAAGATCAACAAAATGGGAGCAAAAGTCATCCTGAAAAAATCTTGTCATGACCCTCTCAGGTAATGACAAGATCTGTCCCGGGAAAAAAATCAATCGAGACTGATGTTCGCTCAAAAAACAACCCAGTGTAAGTGAATGAAAGAAATAAGAGTCAACCGACCGAGGCACTATGATTAAATTGATTTCCCTGAACCCACGAACTGATTCGATAGCAAGTCTCTCTGAAGGCCAATGCCCCGAATAAACCAAAAAATTTTGCAACAGACCCAAGTGGCGAGAGTGATCATGAAAAGGCAAAAGATAAAATGTAAGGAATTACAAGTTTTTTCATGTAACGCTAACAAGCCTTCAGGCTAAATAGAAAAGAAGAGGAAAAATATACTCCCTTGTTTGCAGGGCCTTTAGCGGGTAGCCAATCACTCATCACCAAAGTCGTCCTCTCCTTTGGAGGCTCCATCCAATTTGGCGGGGATCAAGGTAGAGAACTCATCTGGGTTAGAGTACTCGGGTCAATGAAGCCATGATGGATGTATTGTTGGGTAGCAAAGTCCACACCGCGCCTAAGCTCGTCTGCAAAACCATCCTCATACTCATCCCTAGTAATTGAAGAGGCAACCTTCTTCTCCAAGGCTGCTATGGTGCCTAGGTATTCCTGGTCGACCCTCTCAAATTCGTCAAACTTGACATGTATGACGTCCTTATCGCCTCAAAGCCTCAACATCATCATATGAGTTGACTATATCGACCAAATTTGGCTCAGCCCGTGCCCGTTTTACTTTTGTCACCTTTTTTCTCCATTTTGTGGAGGAAGAGATCTAAAACCTTGTCTTTGCCAACCTCTGAGGATACACATTGATCTGGTTCGAACCGCAGACATAATGCTCCTTAGCTGTAAAAAAGGGAAACTGACAACAAATGATATATGACTCAATTCACATACATTTATATGGCACACGGGGAACAAAATCCCAAGAGAAGATAAATGTTCCATCAACTCACGATTTTTAATGCCAACAATTAATTAATAAATTTCTCTGTCCTTATTGTAGCAGTGAAATCAAAGGGCGGGAAATTTCAGGGAACTAATATGTATACACCAGAAATACCGACACAAATCTCAAAAGAAACAACATACTGAGATAAAAGAGCTTTCATTCGAGGTAAGCAACCAACTGACAATTCAATGTCGAGCAATGGAAACTGCATCTCCAAGCTCGGGGTAGGTCCAATCTCTCTAGATGGTTCACTGCAGCGGCGAGATCCCCCTAGAGTGAGACATAGATCATCCCGACAGCGAGTTTCCTCAAATACCTCACATAGACAACGACAATATACACCCGAGACCTTGCGAGATAGGGATATTTGGTCGAAACGAAGAACCTACCAGACATGCGAGACACATGACCTGTAAGATTTGAGCTGAACGGCAAATGAGCCAAGACTCACCCAATTGCAGCTGGCCGATTGACATGGGGCGAGCAAGATCATCATACGACCGAGCACCTCGACCAACTAAAAGACATTGGAAGACACAATCACCGCCCGGCTGGTTTTCTTAATCAGCCGAGCTCAGAAAAATAGACCCATCGGTTGGCACTATGTTATAATTGAAATTGTAATAAAAAATGATATAAATACTTATAAGAGGACGAATCATAGCATTATGTAAAATGCGAGTAAATGCAACCACGGCCCTTTCGACGTTCTTGAGACCCATCGCACTCTTCTCCGCCACCACCGCCATCAGCGTCCTTTCGTTCTCCCTCCTCCAGCGAAGGGGCTTACTATTTCCGGCGAACACAGAACCACCTATGGCCGGAAGCTTAATCATCTGGCTCCACGGCCTCGGTGACTCCGGTCCGGCCAATGAGCCCATCCGCACCTTCTTCACATCCTCAGAGTTCAGCAACACTAAGTGGTCCTTTCCGTCTGCGTCTCCTTCCCCCGTCTCATGCAACTGTGAGTTTTCTTTCGTCAGCGGTGGTTCTGTTGGATTGAGGGCCTCTTTCCGAGATTTACGATTTTGGTATCGTTTATTTTTTGGTGATTGAAATGGAATACAGTAAATCCAAAATTACTTAAACCCACTGTATCCAAGTCTCAATTTATCTATCAATAATGTTGACTGACTTTGCTGACATCACACATATTAAGATTACAAGCAATATTCTAAATTTTTGTTTAACTAATTTGATATCATTTTATCATCCAAATATTGTCTTAATTCCTCTAAATTTTGAATTATCAGTAGATGACACATCCAAATATTGTCCCTAAGTCCCAGATACAAAAAGTGAAAGGTTGTGTTAGATAGTATTTTTTTTTATTGAAAAAATCATGACATGAATTATTTAAATTATATGAAAGTACTGCTTAGACTTAAAAGGAAAATTTTATATGATGGTAGTTAAACCTGCATTGCTTTATGACGCACAATGTTGGTCTATAAAGAGAAGCATAAAACTAAGTTAAGTGTTGCTGAGATGAGAATGCTTAGGGAATGCTTAGTGGATGAGTGGCTTGACACTCAGAGACAAAATGTGAAATGAATGTATACATGATATTAAACTTTTAGTTTAAGTTACTGTAATAGAGAAAATGGTTGAATTGGGGGTGCAATTGGCATATAAGAATTTCATTCGAAATCATTCTAACTCAATCTCACATAATATTTAAGTATGAATAACACATAGATACAACCCTATTTTAGATGTAAAAGAAAAGTTATTCTAATTAGTAGTGAGTGATCAAACTATAAGAAAAATAATGATAATTTCACTTAACTAGCACAAATTCTTAAATAATATGCATCCGCTCATGTGAACTCAAATAAGTGTTTTATATTCACATAGTACACGGATAAAGATAAGTTATTTGTGTGGTATGGTGATTAAGGAGCACAACAATAAAGATCTACTCAACCAAACATGCTATATTCGTTCAAGTGTATTTATTGAAATAGTCCTGAATCCATGGTCAACAACTTTCCACCTATAATAACCTTGCAATGTGTCGATAGTATCTTTCCATCTACAATAATCCAATAATTTATCCGCGACAACTTTTCATCTATAACTCTAAAAATTTGTGGATAACATTTTAGTTTTACAGTTTAGCTAATTCTTGATTTCTTTTTTAAAGTCTGATTTTCACTATTTTCAGTTTTCTAAATAGTTTTTTTTCTATCTTTTTATGTATAAATTCTCATCTTATTATTTTAACCCAAAATGAATAAAATTTAAATCAAAATCCTAAAAACTCACAATGTAAAAAGAATGTATGAATCGTTTTTAGGAGTTTAAGAATTATTTTATCATCTACCATCATCCCTCACTGGGACCACAAACTCTCTCCCTTCCTTAAAAATATATCCAACTTATTGAAGTTCTAATAGAATCACAAATTCCCTCATCACCTTTTCAATGCACCATACATAGATAGTGAGTTTTTTTGTCTATACTTTAAGGGAAAAAAAGTTGCAATCAACATATCTCTAGTGCACCCAAGACGAAATGTGGTTCAAGGAATAACGAAGCACAAATTGGTAAGAATAAATTCATAGATGATGATATTGATCTTATTGTTCTATTATCTTAAGAAACCTAGGTCATGCATCTAATATTCAATTTATGATTTAATAAATATAAAGGGGTTTCATATGGATTACCTTTTTTTGTCACTTCTCTTGATAAAATTTAACTTCCAAACAATTTTGATGAAACTCTCAAAATTTTCGAGTAGAAGTTGTAATTGAAGAAATCTAAGTTTACTTTGGAAGTTTAAGATTTTTATGTAATTGAATCTTAGCTATCAAATCTAAAATAGATGAGTATGGACAAATTTAAAATTATTGCAAAAAGTTAAACCCAATCATATGGTATTGCTTATATAAAAAATTTCTCTCCCTCGTCGACTCAACAAAATTTTGACTTTTTTGCTCTTTTCCAAAAAATGTAAACTAGAATCTTCATTAACTTGATTTTAAGAAATCTTTTCTTAATAAGGAGCCAAGGAGAGTATACATGGAGATCTAATCTGGATTAAAAAATCAGAGAACTGTCATTAAGGTATGTAGGCTTAGAAAAGCTCTAGATGTCCTCAAATAATCCTCTTGTATTTGGTTTGATAGATTCTTTAAATATGTTGAAAAGTGTGGATCTACTCAATGTCAAACGAATCATATATTTTTTATCATACAGTCACCTAAATAAAAAAGGTTGTTCTAATCATATATGTAGATAGTATTATATTGTCAATTAACTTTAATATCTAACTAGATTAAAATAGTTTTTGACACGAGAATTTAAGGTAAAATATTTGAAAATTTCAAATACTTTTGTTATTTGACAATGGCATGATAAAAAACATTATATTATTATTTTCCAAAGGATTTAAATTTTTTTATCTATTTCAAAATGGAAATTAGCCCACAAAAACTCTAATGAAACTAATAGAGAAAATTGGGATCACCTTTAATACCACCCATGTTGATAAAGATAGGTATCAATTTTTTTTGTGGAAAAAATCTTACTGCTCTCTCTCTCCCTCATCTTGATATTGTTGAGCTCTCTGTTAATATTGTAAGAAAATATACGAACAATCATACTGAAGATCATATTGAAGTTGTCAACTATGTTCTATGGTTGCTCGAAGTCATACTAAAAAATGTGTATTGTATAAAAAGTCATCCAACAGGGGAAACAAAATTTCGACAGATACTGATTTAATTGTAGATGCATCAAACCAAAGATTTCTTTTGTTATTGTGCTTATGCATGTGGAAATTTAATAATATTGAAGAAAAAGGTCTTAAAAACTAGTTTAAAGAGAAATATAGGGCAATTTTACTTAATATTTGTGAAAGAATGTGATTGAAATGATTATTAGAAGGGCTAAGCTATCAATTAAATTTTTTTAGAGTATACCATAACAATTAAATTGCCATAAATATTATTAATAACATATCCACGATGACAGGACTACATACATTAAGATTAACAGACATTTCATCTTTGAAAAAAGTGAAAATATACTAGCCCCATTACACTATATTCCAACAAGCTTTTAAATTATAGATATACTGATCAAATTTTAAGCCAGAATGAATTTTGATAAACTAATCAATTAGTTGGACATAATCAATATGCAACCTAATTTGAGTTGGAGTGTTGAAATAGTTATGAATCCATGGCTAGAATCTTTCAATTCACAACAACTTAGTATTCTGTGTACAACAACTTTTCATCTATAATAATCCCGCAATGCATAAAAATTAAAATTTCATCTATAATAATCTAATAGTCATGGATGGTAGTATTACATTTTTATTTTGCAATTAATTCTAGATTTCAAAATTAAAGATTGATTTTTAGATTTATTTATTTTCTTAATTTTTATGTATGATTTCTCATTTTATTTTTCAACGTAGAGAAAGGGAATAAAATTTATCATATAATCTCCTATATTCTAATCTCATCTCCTCATTCTACTTACATTAAGACAATTCTAACAATGAACATTTACACAGTTAAAGCATAATATAATGATATGCTTAACTAACACAGCAATATAAGCATTTCAAGTTTATCTGCAAATAAATAAATCTCAACTTAAGAGTAAGGAGAGATTATTACGTGGTTCAACACTGCATCGGCCTATATCCCTGCTTAAACACATAGTTGCTTAGGATTCCATGAGATTCCTCCTTATAGCGGAGAAACTATCTCCTCATACGAGTTGCCGATATATTTCGTCTTGATTAAACAAAAGTATCAACTAGCCTATATTTATAGACTTGGCGAACCTAATACAAGATTGTAGATCAAATGTATTTCTCCAACATCTATAAATATAATGCACCAATCTGTCCAAATAAGTGAAAATAATCGTACAAAAATCTAAGAGATCATGGGAGAGATCACTCGTAAACTTAAAATGAGGTTTCTTGAAGAACCTATGAGTCCTTCTCTAAAATAGCTGTTGTTTTTGGCTGAAATTGCTTGTATTTCATTATTCAAATGGCGGTTTAGAGATAAATTAAGTTGGCTCTGACTATAATAATTCACGAGTCATTTAAAAATTAGCTTTCTGTGCATACTATTGATAAGATGATTCAAATGGTTTATATAACTTTTCAAACCTAATTGCTAGATCTCACATAACGTAAAAATTGTGCCCAATTCTCTTCTAATTCGGGCCATAAGAGTGGCATTAAATGATATAAAAAAAACTAAGCTTTTTTCAATAGAAAGTTAGATTGTTACTATGGAACTATAAAAAAATTAAATGAAAGTTGATGCTTTTAGACCTATTTAGAATACTTTTAAGTTTAACTAAAACATGAATATAGCAATTTCAACTTTTACCTGGTCATATTAAAAATGGCTTCAAAAATTTAAATATACTTCAAAAAGTTATGAAATTTGCAACTCAAAGCTATTATTATAAATTACACATACTACAAAATTTTTCTTTCAAAATAATATTTTATCATTGATTAGAAAAGAAATCCAAATATTATAAGATATATGGTCATAAAATTACAACACCTTAAAATCATTGGCTATAGTTAGCTATAATAAACATGTTCCAAGAGATCCTTATTGAAAATATATTTAATTGTAATTAGATTAATTAAGCCTTAATTATAAGCATCGTTGAGAATTTAGGTTAATCTAATTTTTCAGAATTTACAATTTAGTTTCCTAAACAAACTCATTGAGCAACCAACCTCGAATTGAATTTTGCTTCATTGGGTCATGCTAAATTCTTCACTTGAAACTTGTGTTCTAGTTGCTACGCTTTCAATTTTGCTTGGTACACTGTCATCTTCGTCGTTGTTGCTCCTTACATTAATCAACCTTTTACCCTCTTAACAAACTATTTGATGGCATAATGTAATTTTATTTTTGGTTATCAAATCACTAATGAGTTCATTAAAAATAATATCATACCACTTTGATTTTAGAGGTCAACAATCTTTTCTTATTTGATGATGGTAAATTCATGTTGGTATAATGAGATAAAAGATGATAAATAAAACTAGCTCCCCTCACTAGATGCTTTTAATAAATATTATTACTTCTAAGAGCATGCATCTAACAACATCTCATGTGATTTTCACCAGCAACACAATAGTTTTGTCTTTCACGTCATCGAAGTATTAACAATTTGAAAAATAAAAAATATTAACTTCTATATTGATATTATATTAGGTATTAAAGAGGTCATCGATATTTAGGTTGGTTGTGAAACAAATGAGAATGTTAATATGGGTAAGCGATGAAACTATGAAGGATAGATTAAAAATGTGTTTTTTTGAGATAGTAGAGTGACACTTACTAAAGATAATTATATTGAAAATATGATTAGGTATATATATATATATATATATAACAAATGAGAATGTTAATATGGGTAAGCGTCTCTCTAACTTTGATTATTTTCTCTCACCCAATATATATATATATATATATATATATATATATATAATATGTTAATTAAATTAGTGTGAAAGGAATAGGAAAAAAATGATATCCAAAACACTTTTTAGTAGGTGTGTAAAATGTCTCTAAAAATAAAATTAACAAAAAAGGTAGCCATTATTAGGAATGAATGGAGGATGATTCATAAAGCCATTTCATATACTTGAGATATGACTAAGATGATGATGATGAGGAATTTGTCTTTTCCACTTCATCTTGTATCTCATGAAGTGGGCAAGGATGCATATGCAACAACAAGTTTTTGTCCCACTTAGTGGAGCTGGCTACGTGAATCTTTTTTTCCAATGTGTCTTATTGAGTGTCATATTTCCATTAAATTCTAATAGATTAAGTTCTTTTTTTATACAATATGCCCAATTTTTTATGTCTACCTCGACCCTTCTCAGCATAAGTTAAATATAAAACATTTACTCTCTTAATAGGGTCATCAAATGACCAACATTTAACGTGACCCAACCATCTAAGGTGACTCTTTCTAATCTTATATGCCACTAGAGCAACTCCAACCCTTTCAAAGATATATTCGCTTTGCATTTTGTCTCTAAGTGTAAAACCACTCATCCACTCGAGCATTCTTATCTCAACAACCCTTAATTTTAAGTCTCTTTTGCAGGCCAACATTCTGATACGATCTGATTTCAAAATGATCTCGTTTTTCCAAATAAATTAGGGCAAACAAATTTTTTATTTCAAAAAATTAAATACTTAATGAGAATACAAAGATAAGCACCTACGATTCGAGTGGTAGGTGGTCTCTCCCTCTCCCAATTCCTACAATTCGAGAGGTAGGAAATCTCCCCCAAAACCAAAACCTCAGACTCACAATCCAATCTTCTGCATGAACCTAACCCTAGACATAACAAACATATTTATACCAAACAATAATAATAATAATAAATGACTAAATTGCTCTTGGGCATACAAAAACAAAATTGCCCTCAAGCCAGACACCCTCGTAATGCATTCTACGCCAAAAAACATTTCAGTTCTCACCACCATCTTTTTAGTAGTACTTTTCTATCACACAATGAGCCCGATGCATTCCTCCACTTCAACCATCCAACTTAAATTCTACTAATAGCATCCCCATCTATATAACCATCACTTTAAATAATAATCCCAAGATATCTAAAGCGTTTACTCCTTTTAATGACTTGATCACCCATTGTTACAACCCATGCCCTAGATCTATTATCACTAAAATTACTTTCCATGTACCCAGTTTTAGATCCACTCAAACGAAAGCATTTAGACTCTAATGTTGACGTCTATAATTTAAGTTTTTCTTGAGCTGTCTCTCTAGTCTTATCCACAAAAAGAATATCATCAGCAAAAAACATACATCAAAGTACATCATCTTATAAATGTCCAGTAAGAATATTGATGAATAAAACAAAAATATTGGGCTTAAAGCCGATTTCTAATGTAATACAATTGAAGTAGAAATATATTTGGTCAATCCTCCTTGTGTTCGAACACAAGTAACAACTCTAGTTTACATATCTATAATAACTTGAATATCAACAATATCAACACCTTTCTTTTCTAGAACTCTCCAGAGTACTTCTATTGGAATTTTATCTTAAGTTTTTTTTAATCAACAAAAATCATATGTAGATATTCCTTACTTTCTCTATATTTTTCCATCAAACCTCTCAATAAATGTATAGCCTCCATAATAGACTTGCCTGGTAATGATGCATATGAGAAAGCAAAAAATATAAAATTAATTAAAAAACATGCATGAACGCAGTGGATCAATTAACATTAAGATTTATTCTAAATTAAATAGCATATGATTTGCAAATGGGCATAAGTTCATTTAAAAATCTTTACAGTTGCACTAATATTATGAAATTATTAATTTTAAATTATGTGGGGAGAAGTGATGGTAGGGGAATTGGGGGTGTAGTTTATTTTTCATGACTATAATCTTACAAGAGTTTCAATTATGGTTGGGTCTGCGTCATATTTGAAATTCGGTCATGAAATTTTAACATAACCAGATCTGTGTTGTTTCTATTGAAGGTATAATAAGTAATAGTCAGAACATGCATGTACTATTGGATTTATATTATTCTTGCAGATAATATAACTTATAAACCACTACTGATACTATATAATCAAAACTCTAGCTGTTTCATCTTCTTCTTAGTACTCTAATCGATAAATCTTATATTTTCTTGTGGCGTTTGCAGCAAATCACTCAATTCCTAAAGTTTACTTTTTACATATATATACTACCCAAATCTTTCACATGGCATAAAAAATACAAGTATTTTAACTTTAACATTTGAAATACACCTTTTCATGCATAGGTAAGATGTCATATATGAAAAGATTAAAGTTTATGTGTCAGATATGTAAATACATAGGAATTGAGTGGTATGTATGTAAATCGTCCTATTTTCTTTCAAATACCTACAGAGTAGCTCCACCTTGACGCTTTTGCTACCAAAATTGATGAGCAAGCATCAATTTATCCGTGAATTTTTTAATAAAGAATTGTTCAATTTTTTCAAAATCACTTCGCATCTTAATGATCTGCTTTCCTATTCTTTTCTTTCACTTTATCAGAGCTTTCTTATCTTACAGATGGTGCTGTCATGCCTTCATGGTTTGATATTCATGAGATTCCTATTGGCATTGTAAGTTTCTCCAGTCAATCCTTTCGGGATCACTTTTATTTTTTTATTTTCTTTTGTTTATGTTTTAATTTGAAACAAAATCTATTTGATTAAAAATATGCTTGTTTTTAAAAACAATCAAAACACCAAAAAAATATTTTAATTATTTTCAAAAACATATTAATTTATTTATTTAAACAAAAAATTAAAACATATAAAAAACACAGTGAACAAAGTAGATCCCAAATACACCAAGTCTTACTTTCTTCTTCTAAGTGTATAATCTATCTATCTTGAGTTATTCTTATTAACCTGCATTATACAATTATTGTCAAATAATATTATTTAGCATAGTGATGATTGAAAAGTTGAAAATTCAGCCATTATTTGACTAGATTGTTATTAGGAATGAAATTGTTTGCTCAGATAATTATTTTTTTTTTCAATAGATTTCTCACCATTTGTTTTGTATTTGGACTGAACTGATCACAGTTTGTTGCCTTTGTTGTGACCTACATGTCATGAGTTCAAATCAAGCGATAGCGTTTTCAAAACTTAAGGTTGAGTTTGCATAATTAAGTAACTCCCTCGATAAGTCTGCAATGGTGGGAGCCTTGTGGTCCTGCGGAGTGTTTTGTTTTTTACAAGATTATAATCTCTTTTTTTGTTTGTTTCACGCTGCAAATTTTGAAAAATAATAAGAAAGCAATATTTAAATAAATGTAGAACAGCAGTCTAAAAATGAAGCAGTGATAAAGTTGTTTTGAACTGATCTTCAATTTTTTGTAAAGGTGGTTGTAAAGCTGTTGTGAGAAAAATAATTTGTTTGAAAACTTATTTGGGAATTATATTTTATTTTAAATGTCACATAACAGCTTTCTTACACCTATTATGCTTTAGCATATTAATTATTAAAAAAACTATCATCACATGAATTTTTAAAAAATAATAAGAAAGTAGTAGCCAAACATAGTTTTGGTGGCTGATCCAAAAGCAACACAACGACAAAGGTATCTCAAATAAACCCAAATATTTGTTCTCTTCGAAAGTGTAGAATGATGGCTTTTTTAAAGGTTTGTGTATATGGCTGCTTTTTTTATGGCACTAAGAGAATAAGTTAAACAATATTCCATTATCATAGAGGCTGTAATTGGTAATTTCTGCTTCTCTTCTATTAAAAACGATATGCTTATAATATTTATAATTATTTTGTCTGAGTTGGCTTAACCAATCAGGCTTCACCAAAAGATGAAGGTGGAGTGCTCAAAGCTATGAAGAGTATACATTCTATGATAGACAAAGAGATTGCTGCTGGCATAAGTCCTAAAAACATATTTATATGTGGATTCAGTCAAGGAGGTTGGGATTTTTAACCATTTTTTTCCTAATTATTGCTTGAAATTAGCTCAAACACTGACGAATTAAGTTTATATTTATTTATTTATTTATTTACAGGTGCTCTTACCTTAGCTAGTGTGCTTCTATATCCAAAAACTTTGGGGGGTGGAGCTGTGTTTAGTGGCTGGGTTCCTTTCAACAACACAATTAGAGAAAAAGTCTCGCCTGAAGCAAGGAAGGTATTATTAATGAGTTTTTATTCTTACTTGGGCTTGTCAATTAGGAATGATGAAAATCAGGCACCTAATTTAAGAGTTTTCTATAATTAGAAGGTTCCTTATTTCTAATATATTTATTCTGATATATTTCCCTTTTAGCTGAATATTTAGATTAGAAATATGTATTATTAAGTTACCTAAAATAGATTATATGCACTTTATCTTGTACCTAAAATAGATTGTAATATTGTTATTTAATGCAATGAAAGCAAAGGGAAAGGGCAATCGAGCCTATTCAGGATTCAACATATTTTTCTCAAAACTTCGACATGGTATCAGAGCAAAAAAAAAAGTCCTAACCACCGTTAATCGTTGAAGGACCTTCAAAACTCCCTTCCCGTCAGTCTTCTTGTGGGAAGGGAGGAATTATTTCTTCACCTTATTTTTGCTCGTCTGCTTTGTCTAAAACCCTCGTCTTCTTCATCTGCACTGCCGTCGGAACGAGAAACACAATGGATAAAGTGTTGGGGTTTTTGATGAAAACACTCATTTTCTTCGGCTGCGTCCACGACACCTTCAAGACAGTTAACTCCATCTACTTGGACTCCCACAACTCCTTCCTCACCTTCACCGAAGAAGAAATCAAGAGCTTCTCCGCAACCTCCGTTTCAACCTCTGTTTCCGGCGATTCGTACAACTCCGTCGAGAATGTCATTTGACGGCTGCGATCTAATCGGCCTTCTTCGATCCTGGCGAGACCAGCTCATCGATCATGGTGAAATCGAAATTGGCAGGCGAAGTCTTGTTCAAAACAGAGCATCGCGATGACTGTTGATTCAGAGGCCCCGTCGAGGGATTTTGGGGTTTTGATGGAGGAGATGGTGGAGACTAATAGGGTTAAGGAATGGGAGAAACATGTTGAATATTTTGTTTGGTTTCTTAAGGCGAATGGGAAGGAGAATCATGGGTTTATATTTGGGGCTTTTCTAGAGTTACTTGTGGGACTTTCAGCTTCTTCCTCCTTTGTTTCTAGGGCTTTGGAGATTGAGGAATTGTATAAAGAATGCGAGTTTTGATGAATCCGTGGATGATACTTCGGTTTAGCTAGAAAATTTCTTTCATTTGCGTGAATAAGTTGTAAGAAGAATTATCACTTGAAGGAGATAAAACTTATTATAAAATGCAAAATTCATTCATTGTGAAATACAAGGATTCTTGGGTTGAAAAGGGTTGTTATGTTTGTATTATTATTCGTCCGATTCATATTTTCTTCACTAGACATCGTTGCTTCTGGACATTTTCAATTGCTTCTTACGCTTCGCTTCGTCCGCCTTGGCTTTGGCTTCGTCACTCATTCCTAGATCGATGGCGTCGACTTCGGCAAACCATAGATCTCTTAGGCTTCGACAAAACTCTGGCTTTGGCTCTCTTGGGGTTCAGCACTCTCAGGCTTCGGCACTTTTGGGCTTTGGCACTCTCTGAGGCTTCGACACTCTTGGGCTTCGACACTCTCAGGCTTCGGTCTTTCGGACTTCGTCATTTTTTGGCTTCAACATTTTTTGGCTTCGACACTTTTGAGCTTCGACAAAACTGTGGCTTCGACATTTTCAGGCTTCGGCACTCTGAGGCTTTGGCACTCACGGCTTGAGAATTTTTTGTCCCAACAATGTTATTAGCTTCTTGTTGGCAAATTGATTTTTCCTGATTAGTCAACATCAATTTGAAGGGGGATGTCAATTAGGAATGATGAAAATCAGACAGCTAATTTAAGAGTTTTATATAATTAGAAGCTTCCTTATTTAGAAGCTTCCATAATTAGAAGCTTCCTTATTTCCAATATATTTATTCTGATATATTTCCCTTTTAGCTGAATATTTAGATTAAAAATATGTATTATTAAGTTACCTAAAATAGATTATATGCACTTTATCTTGTACCTAAAATAGATTGTAATATTGTTATTTAATGCAATGAAAGCAAAGGGAAAGGGCAATCGAGCCTATTCAGGATTCAACATATTTTTCTCAAAACTTCGACATGGTATCAGAGCAAAAAAAAAAGTCCTAACCACCGTTAATCGTTGAAGGACCTTCAAAACTCCCTTCCCGCCAGTCTTCTTGCGGGAATGGAGGAATTATTTCTTCGCCTTATTTTTGCTCGTCTGCTTTGTCTAAAACCCTCGTCTTCTTCATCTGCACTACCGTTGGAACGAGAAACACAATGGATAAAGTGTTGGAGTTTTTGATGAAAACACTTACGACTCCGTCGAGAATTTCATTCGACGGCTGCGATCCGATCGGCTCTTCTTCGATCCCGGTGAGACCAGCTCGTCGATCATGGTGAAATCGAAATTGGTCGGTGAAGTCCTGTTCAAACAGAGCATCGTAATGACTGTTGATTCGGAGGACCCGTCGAGGGATTTTAGAGTTTTGATGGAGGAGATGGTGGAGGCTAATAGGGTCAAGGAATGGGAGAAATTGGTTGAATTTTTTGTTTGGTTTATTAGGGCGAATGGGAAGGAGAATCATGGGTTTATATTTGGGGCTTTTCTAGAGTTACTTGTGGGACTTTCGGCTTCTTCCTCCTTTGTTTCTAGGGCTTTGGAGATTGAGGAATTGCAGAAAGAATGCGAGTTTTGATGAATTTGTGGATGATACATCAGTTTAGCTAGAAATTTTCTTCGATTTGCGTGAATAAGCTGTAAGAAGAATTATCACTTGAAGGAGATAAAACTTATTCTAAAATGCAAAATCCATTCATTGTGAAATCCAAGGATTCTTGGGTTGAAAAGGGTTGTTATGTTTGTATTATTATTCGTCCGATTCAGATTTTCTTCACTAGACATCACTGCTTCTGTGACATTTTTGATTGCTTCTTACGCTTCGCTTCGTCCGCCTTGGCTTTGGCTTCGACACTCATTCCTAGATCGATGGCTTCGACTTCAGCAAACCATAGATCTCTTAGGCTTCGACAAAACTTTGGCTTTGGCTTTCTTGGGCTTCGGCACTCTCAGACTTCGGCCTCTCGGGCTTCGGCACTTTTGGACTTTGGCATTTTTAGGCTTCGACACTCTCGGGCTTCGGCATTTTTATGCTTCGACACTCTTGGGCTTCGACCTTCTTGGGCTTTGACACTCTCAGGCTTCGGTCTTTCGGACTTCGGCATTTTTAGGCTTCGACACTTTTGAGCTTCGACAAAACTGTGGCTTCGACACTCTTGGGTTCCGACATTTTCAGGCTTCGACACTCTGAGGCTTTGGCACTCACGGCTTGAAAAGTTTGTCCTGACAATGTTATTAGCTTCTTGTTGGCTAATTGATGTTTCCTGATTAGTCAACATCAATTTGAAGGGGGATGCCAATTAGGAATGATGAAAATCAGGCAACTAATTTAAGAGTTTTCTATAATTAGAAGCTTCTTTATTTCCAATATATTTATTCTGATATATTTCCCTTTTAGCTGAATATTTAGATTAGAAATATTTATTATTAAGTTACTTAAAATAGATTATATGCACTTTATTTTGTACCTAAAATAGATTGTAATATTGTTGTTTAATGGAATGAAAGCAAAAGAAAAATACAATCGAGCCTATCCAGGATTCAACCAATTTTTCTCAAAACTTCGACAGGGCACGACATAAATTGGGCTTTGGTTCACCAAAATTAAACATAATTTAAGAATTGATGAATTTTATTATAACTATTAAATCAATTTTGGCGGCCTTCAACCGGTGAAAAACAAATCTAACAAATGCCAATTAAAATATAAGTAGAGGAATGTTAGCTTAGCTTCTATTCATTAACAAACATTTAAAAACTACCATGCAATGTTCCATTTTGATTACTTACAACATTCAAATCTTAGGGCTTGTTTGGGATCACTTTCTATTTTCTATTTATATTTTTATTTTTAGGCTATTTTATTATTATTATTTATTTATAGAAAATGCGTTTGGTACTATTATGATTTATATGTTTTAAAACAAAAAATATAAAACAAGTTTGGTTGGTTATTTTTTATTTTTTCTCAAGAAAAAAATTATACTTTTAATAAAATAGTTCAGTCCACGTACACTCCATTATTAAGCTCTGTCAACCTTGACGTATACTACGTCTTCCTTGCTCCACCCAGCATGAAATTTTACCTGTGGGCGGGTTGGGGCTGCGAGCGCCGGGCGATCGACGGCGGAGCGTCGCACAGATAATGCTCCAAAAAATATATTTTTAAAACAACAAAAACACAATTTCTGTATTTTTTATGTTTTGAAAAAATGCCTCTCACATTTTTTTTTTTATAAAAAGAATAAACAAATAATAATTTTGGGCCTTAGTTATTTAGAAAGCCAATAAAATCCTTTTATTTTCATTTTCAAATTCTCATCTAATTATTGAATTCACTATAAAATCTCAACTTATCATTTTTTCCGTCATATTCTTAGCTAGTTCATTGTGATACGCATCAACATAGAGGCCAATGGTTCAAGAAAATGATCTAAATGCTAGTTTTGTGAAGAACTAAGGCCTAAGGTCTTCTTTGAGATCAATTTTATTTTTCATTTTTTTATTTTTTATTTTATTTTTTTAAATATATTTGTTTGGTGTATTTTTTTTACATGTTTTTATTTTTTGCTTCTAAAACTAAATAAACATATTTTTCAAAACACTCAAAACTCCTTTTAAAGGTTGGTGTTTTGAATATTTTTAAAAACAATTTTATCTTAATCAAATATGTCAAACATATTTTGTTTCAAATCCAATCATAGACAGAACAAAATAAAAACAATAAATAAAATAAAAAAAATAAAAGTGATTCCAAACAACCCTTAAGATTGTGATCAATTTGTATTCACAGAGAAGAAATATCTATCGAACCTTATTGAATTATGTTGATATTGGTTGAAGGTTATATATCACTCTATTTTGTGAGTTTAAATTTCATATTTATTACTTCATAAAAACATTGTGGCCATAATGAATTCCATCTACTTAATTGTGGCATCTTTAGAGATCTTCAAGTGCTTGTCATGATTGACAAATTGGACTAGAAAACTATATTTATCTCACTAAACTGTTTTACACAAATTTTTAACTTCTACCGTCAAAATCATGTCTTTTTTCTTTGTTTTTTTCATTGTCAATTTGTGCTATTCATTTCTCTTATATATAATCATTTTCTAAACTATACTTATAGTTTTATCATGCATTTGTCAACGACTTTTTGATTCCAACTCTATACTCTTGAATCATGTTTATAGTATCTTTTTCAAAATTATTTTGTTCGAATAACCTGCTTATGACACATGTTTTAATATATTGATTTTTTGGTTTTGCAGACACCCATATTATGGTCCCATGGGATGGCTGATCCAACTGTCTTATTTGAAGCTGGTCAGGCAGGGCCTCCATTTTTGGAAGATCTTGGCATGCAATGTGAATTTAAGGTAATTATGTCCCGTCCCTCCCTTATTCATTCATAGTAGTTGACCATTAATTATTCATCCATGTATGTATTTATACATGTGTGTATGTATATATGTATGTATATGTATAGCACTTGACACATTGTTATTTACGAATCGTGCACCCTCATTCATACATTTTTCTAATTATTACACAAATACCAAACTTCATGATAAAACCCCAACCCATAGATTTTTTTTCATTTTTATCAAATTCTGAAAGGCTTGATCATGACACTCATAAATACTTATATATTCGGCAGTTCAAAAATATTACATGGGTGCTAGAATTTGTAAACAATACTCATCACTTGGCTCATCGTAGCCTTTCTCAACAAACACAGTAATGTTTCGGGTGCTATGTATGTGACACAAACACAGACACACACACACTTATGCGCTTAAAGACGTTGTATTGATTGGAACTAAAATGAAGAATCTTAATAAATGGGTATTTATATATAAATACAAGGAAAATTTACATACATTCCACACAATTCATACATTTATAAGTCTAACATCTTAACTTTTATATTCATATTTATAACATCTTAGGTATTAAACATATACATGAAAACATGTATTTCTTTTTTAAAATAATAGTAATAATGATATTTTTATATAATATTAAAGATATGAGCGTTATGCATGTAAATATGAAAGATTAGATGTTAGACATGCAAAGATAAAAGAATTGCGTGGTATGTATGTAAATGCCACAAAAAAAGGTTTAAATGTTAGAAAGCAATTTCATGGCGTCGCTATCAACTTTTACATAAATTTTGAAAATGATAAATATTTCATTTTTGAAGTAACAATTTGCATCAGCGAATGCAGACTTTAGCCGACAATATGTGCCTTGTTTCATTTATTGTCATCCAACACTGCTGTGCATAATTGGTACTTATTAATGCAGAGTAAATTTTAAGGAAAAAATGATCTAATTTTTAATTAATTTATTTTCAAAATTGTTGAATTTATATTAAAATTCGTGTAATAAAAATTTTAAATGGTTTTAATGTATTATATTTAAAGCAATGAAGATTTACATGCATACCACTCAATTCCATTGTAAATACACCTAAACTTCAGTTTTTGCATTCACGCCATTTTAACTGTGCATGAAAATGTGTGTTTTATTTTATAAAAATTAAAATGATGATCCTTTTGATGTGATATGAAAGAATTGGATGGTATAAATGTAAAAAAATGTAAAGTTTAGATGTAGGCATGTAAATACATGGGAGTTGAGTGGTATATCTGTAAATGCCCCAAACAGTGACGATTTACCTCTTTAAAATGCAGCATAAGTTTTAGATTATTTTTACGTTTTCTTATTTATTTATTTTCAGGCTTACCCAAATCTTGGGCATTCCATTAGCACAGAAGAGCTACGGTCACTTGTATTATGGATCAAGAGTCGCTTGGTGAGTTCTTCAGGATAATATTTAGAATTTTATTTCAGATTTTAGCCGCCAAGACCAAATTTGGGTAGCTTTTATATATATATATACATATATATATATATATATATGTATATATCACTATAAAATCATATTGATGAGCACAAATTTTAATGTACATTTAGACCAGAAGCTTGTAAAATCAAATTTGGAAATGCCCGCACTCTAATTTGTGATCAAATGAACTGTCTCGCTGAGATGAACCAAACAACATAAAAATGATTTGATCCGAGTCAAAATGAGGGTAGATCATGCATTTAAAACATAAAGAAAAGTTTTAGAAAATACTTTGAGGGATCAAATAATCTCTAAATGTGACTAGTTCATAATCAAATCGAGTCTCTTGACACGATGAAAACAAGCCTAAGATCACTTTATTTTGACACCATTAAGGGAATAATTATGGGTCATTCGATAGAGGTTTGGATTTATGTAGTATTTGTAGAGATTGTCACTCAGAAATTTATACATATGACCCCACTTTCTTCATGAAGGGAGACCCGGACATGGAAAAAAAGGTTTATGGAGCTCCAAAATCTTGAGGGGTCTCGAGCTTTACCACAACTAGATCACCGCCTTCTAGCCCCCGCTATCGTTGGACCACTGCTGCTCAGTCACCATCGTCACCGTATCAAACCACCAACATTTGGGCACCCAGCCTCAAGAACACAACTACCCAACTACGATCACACTGCCACCGGACCACCGTTTTCAGCTCACCGCTATCGTCAGACCCTAGTTGCCGCCGTCGAACCACGACGTTTGACAGTTGCCACCGTTGGACCATCGTTACCTTACCACCACCAGCATTGCCACCGGACCATCACTATCTTGTTGGCACCATCGGACCACCGCTGCCAAATAACTACCTTCATCATCGTTGCACTATCATTGTCCGTCTTTGACGCCCCTAGTAATCCATCATTATTTGGTCATCACCATCATCAGATAATTATTGCCTTGCCACCATCAGACTATCTTCGTTAAGTCATCGCCACCACCGGAGCTTTGCTACTCGGCCACCATCATCACCGCCGCCACTACCAACAACATTGACATCATATCTTATGGATCTTGAGGGGTCTCGAGCTTTACCACAACTAGATCACCGCCTTCTAGCCCCCGCTATCGTTGGACCACTGCTGCTCAGTCACCATCGTCACCGTATCAAACCACCAACATTTGGGCAACCAGCCTCAAGAACACAACTACCCAACTACGATCACACTGCCACCGGACCACCGTTTTCAGCTCACCGCTATCGTCAGACCCTAGTTGCCGCCGTCGAACCACGACGTTTGACAGTTGCCACCGTTGGACCATCGTTACCTTACCACCACCAGCATTGCCACCGGACCATCACTATCTTGTTGGCACCATCGGACCACCGCTGCCAAATAACTACCTTCATCATCGTTGCACTATCATTGTCCGTCTTTGACGCCCCTAGTAATCCATCATTATTTGGTCATCACCATCATCAGATAATTATTGCCTTGCCACCATCAGACTATCTTCGTTAAGTCATCGCCACCACCGGAGCTTTGCTACTCGGCCACCATCATCACCGCCGCCACTACCAACAACATTGACATCATATTTTATGGCACACAATCTTTATCATCAATCTTCCTCCGCAATAATCAAGTCGCTGCTCCTTCCCTAACGTATTTGGTCACTCTCGTGGTGGAAGCCAAGTCAATAATCTACACTTGTGTAATATTGCTTTTGGGTATGCAAGGGCGAGTAAAGTATTGTAACATATGAATAGTTTAATCATTTTAAATGGGCTCTAAAGCCTTTGGTTTTTACCCTTTTGATTTTTCCACGTAAAAACCTCTAGTACCCCTTTCTATTAGCTCTTCTTTTATCTATGTGTGAGACGGATCTTTGTACAACACTAGAACATTAATATATAACTCTACACCTTGAATTTAGTAGCACGCAGCAGTTTGCCGCCATCCGTGGGAACTCACTCTCACCCTTGCATGATTTGTGACAATCACTAAATGACCAATTAGCGTAATAATGACAATAACGGAGCCTCCTACTCTAATGTTAGGACAACCTTAAATTTTGGGACATTAAGCCTCTACTTTTTTCACTCTTTAATTGACATTACTTTGCCTGCAAATGTGCAGTTCCATAATGAGATTTCTCAGCTCCTACTTGAGGTTCTACAAACAGTTTTATATCGGTGTGGGCCCCCCTTCCCACTATAGTGAAAATTCTCATTACCGGACCTGATGTTGATCTCTCTAATATTGCTAGTTCCTTTTATCAATCTTATACAAGCCGACTTTCTTGTAACACTTTGACGCTCAGTAAGAACTTGGCACGATCCCGTATGATTGACGCTCTTGATAACGTAATCAGCGATGGGCTGCAAGGTCTGGTTCAAGAAGAGTTTCCCTTAAAGGATGATAATTATTTCATAACTTTTCACAATCTTTAAGTGTCTTCACCTAAGGTAGTTCTCCCACCCCTATTCCAACATACAAGTTAGAAATCGTCAAGTAACATTCGGATAAACAACCTTTCATAGGTTATTAATCTTTAATGGATTTCCTTAGACTTCTTTTATAATGATTAATGTCTGCCGAGTAACAGTCATATAAACAACCTTGGATATGTCAATAATCCTTGGTGGATTTTCTTAAATATCTTTTGCACAAGTTAACATCGTTCACTAACACTTAACGAACACTCTTCCATTTAGGCTAACACACAAATAGATCAAACAGATTTGATGATTTTTTTCGACTTATTTTGTACATGTTAACGTCGTCGAGTAATACTCTAACAAACAACCTCGTGTAGCTCAAATATCATAAGTGAAGTTCATTCGATCTCTTTTACTCGGGCTAATATTGTCGAGTAAGACTTGATCAGGCATTTATGGTGGATTCTCGTGAATTTCTTCGACACATGGCAAGCCCAATGTTGCTTGTTTATTATTATTCAATGGTTATTTTGCTCGTCCATCACTCTTGTGCGATTGTCTGACTAAAACATGCATAACCTCCGACGCTTAGCTACAATCTCTTAGGAATAATCATTTGTCTTCAATGTAGATAATGATTTAGCCTACTCTGGGGGTAAAGGTTATTAAAATCAATGCACTATCTCTAACACCGTGAAATCGTCTTCGTCACCAGATCACCATCGCTCGACTAACATCAACACTATCACTTAATCATCGCAACTCGGCCACAATCGTCATCATCGGATCACTACCACCTCACCAATGCCTTCGATCTCTTGTCGTGGTTGCTTGGCCAATGGTGTTGTTGTCACAATTACCATCATTACTATGTAGCCATCTTCAGCCACTGATGCCGCCAGACTACCATCACTCGACACCGCTCAACCACAATTGTCGTAATCGGATCACTGACACTTAGTCGACTCCTCTAAACTTCCACTATTACTGGGCATCCATCTTCAACCATTGATGCTGCTAGACCACCATCGCTCGGATGTCATTGCTATTGTCACTTGATCACAATTGCTCAACCATTACCTCCACCATCGCTAAACCAGTGTGCCCAGCCACCATTGTTGCCACCGTCGAACCATCATCTTCAGGTCACTGCCACCACTCGACCTTTTGTTGCCCAACTACCATCGTCGCCTTCATACCATCGTCATCGAGCCACCACTAACACTAAATTTTCTGGCACACGACTTTTATCATAGGTCTTCATTCACAATAGTCTGGTCGTTGCCATTTTTCCAACATATTTTGCCACTTTCTTATTAGAAGTTATATTGATAACTCCTACTTATGTAATATTGCTTCCTGCTATTCAAGAGCTGGTAAAGTCTTGTAACCTGCATCAATATAGTAGAATCATTTCAACTTAGCTAAGCCCTGCAATTTTTACTCAAATTGAATTTTTCACATAAAAATTTTTGATTTTCCTTCTATTAGCTCTTTTTTTATGTGTTGAATCTATGTGTGCACGCGAGCGCACATATTTTGCTTGTCAGGAAGTTCGTAATGTAACGGTAGAATCCTATATTAACATCCTTGACAACGGTGTCATAAGTCGTCCGGTGTCCTATTTTAGAGGCGTGTCTCAAATATATATTATATAAAATTGCTTAACCTTGTTGGCATTGTTATTTATATGTATGCGGCTCAATTCTTTGACATCACATTAAAATTTTTTTTTGTTAATAGTTTTTTAAAAGTGTAAAATAACCTTCCATGCATAATTTAAAATAATAAAATAGTATAAATTTAAATATTAAATTTTAGGTGATTGATGTATAAATACAAAAAAATTATGTCGTTTGCATTTAAATGTCGGAATTTTTTTGTTTTGAAGGTTTCCAATGCAAATGCAAAATGAAAGTTTCTTGTCATACAATTTATTAACAAATAATTTTTTTATTTAAGTAGATAATTAATTAGATGAATTTTAAATTATTATGCTTTTTTTAACAAAAAAAAAAAAAAGTATTATTAGTTATTTAGGTTGTTAATTTTTTTTTGTCATTTTCATGATTGGACAATTTTAAATTATTATGCTTTTTTTAACAAAAAAAAAGTATTATTAGTTATTTAGGTTGTTAACTTTTTTTTTGGTCATTTTCATGATTCGACCCGATGTGACGTTGATTAGGACAGGAGGTACAGGCTTTTTCACAGTTCAAAGCAAGGTTGGGGCCTCATGATTTAAGATTTTATTTATATATATTAGATGTTTAATACACAATTAAATGGAAATTGAGTGGTCTGTTTGAAAATCTTTCAATTGTTAAATAATGGCTGCAGCCGAAGGGAAGACACTAACTAAATGCCCCCACCGACGGCACCATGGCGGTTGATCTTCCTATTCGATCCATAAGTTAACTCAATTGGATGCGATGGCTAAAAATGAGAATAGATGGATATATTTTAATTAAAAATAACTAAAAACATCGTCTCAATATGCTTAGAATGTTGAAATTGACTACGGAGGGCTTGCAACTACATGTGTAAATGAGCAGAGTTTGAGCGAGCTGAAACTATGGGTGTAAATGAGTTAAGTTTTGTTCGTCTTTTTTTTTTCCCGTGTTCGTCTCATGCTCGAAATGACTTGTTAATAGTATTTTCGTGTTCGGTTCGATAAGTTTGAAATACATTTCAAATAGGCTCGTGTTCGGCTCGATAAAACTGATGAGCTTAAGGTTATTTTAACTTTTAAAGAAAGCTTAAAAATTGGCTGATGTTATATTTATTCTTAAAAATGTGTCATTCCATCATATTAAATTATTAGATTTTGAATAATTTATTTGCTTAACATATATTTTATGTTATGAATAATTGATTATTAATTTTAACTTATTTATGTTGATATGTTAATATTATGATTTTGTTTTTGTTAAGTTTTAATAGATGAATTGATATTTAAAGGCAAAGGATCTGGTGATTTAGACTGCTTGTAAAGTTTATTTTATATATATAATAAGTTTGCTCCCTTTCAAAAAAGAAGCTAGTTTCACCCTTGTTAGTGTCATGTCGTACAAATGTTTGACACATACACAAATAAGAAGAGTTTTTATATGGAAAACTCGAAAGAGTAAAAATTATAAGACATAATCCAATTGAAATAATTAAAACTCTATGTAGGTTCAAGACTCTACCAACCATTGAATACTCTCTAGCATTATTACACTAGTGGGGTTATCAAAGTGACTTTCACTAGATGAGTGGCGAAATATGTTGGGAAAGTGACAACAACCTGACTGCTTGACAGAAAACCAACTAAATATGTGTGCCCAAAAATTTAATGTCAATGTTGTTGATAGTGTAGTGGTCCCCCAACAACGACGATGGCAGTCATACTATAGTTGTCCTACAACGACAACTTTTAGGGGTGTCAAAAATTGATTGGAAACGACAATACGACCCAAACTTGACTCGAAAAATCTATGTTACGTTTAACCCGAGCATTTTTCAAGCCGGGTTCAAATAGATAATTCAACCCTATTATTATTTGGGTCTTGTTCGGATGGAACCCGAAAACTCAAACATGAGCCAAA